CTCTCTCTCTCTCTCTCTCTCTCTCTCTCTCTCTCTCTCTCTCTCTCTCTCTCTCTCTCTCTCTCTCGTGTTCGTTCTTCGACAAAATTCCATTTCAACGATTAAACAATTAGAGAAAAACAAAAGCTTACAAAAGTGAGCACAAAATCATTGAATGTTATTGCAACGATATTCTATAACATTTTCTGACATATAGTTCTCATGTAATTCTTGAATATTTCAAAAACATTTTTGCAATATTCAAAGAGATCGTATTAATCCATAAAATTGTTTAAGTATTTTTTGAATATGAAGGAAGAACGTGTTCGAAAGATACACATAAAATCATCGTTCCTTATGGTAAATTATACGATACACCAAATTGTTTCGTTCCTGCTAGTTACGTCTCTCACGACGAATCTAATCGACACAGCGGCAAGTGTATTTCCCGGGGATAAATGATTTGCTAAAGATTCGAAAAGATCAGACGCGTTGAGAGAGAGACCTACCGCTCATGATTAGCTGCGGCACTCGAACTGCGTCGTTGGAAATAAAACGAAGAGCTGCGCTCGTCTGTCTATCGATTTCGATCAGTAAGGACAACTAGACAATCGGTTAATCGAGCCAGTAATCGGATTATACTTGATGATAAGAGGATCTTCCTACTGATTTGTTGATACGAGCATCCGGTCAGTGTGTACAAAAAAACTATTATCGAAGAGAATTTCCTTCGCAAGTTCATGAGAAATGAGAATCGGGAAGGTGCTCTCTCTCTCTCTCTCTCTCTCTCTCTCTCTCTCTCTCTCTCTCTCTCTTACGGCGCACAAACTGATACACAAACGATAAAGGCAGCTTTATCTAGTAAACAACGGTACAAACGAGTGCCAGATGTTTATTGTTCTGTAAGATATAAAATACGATATCCGAATAATTATTATTTCATAAAAAGTATATATCGTACCAGATGTTATCGGTGTGCACCGGAAATTAATCACGTCAATTTTTCAATTCGCCTTGAAGTAGAAAAGCACGCGTTCAAAGTCTCGAGTGTCAAACTGACTGTCTGGATATCCGATTTTGATCTGAAAACTCAAATCGCGTTATTCGAATAATCCGAGTTGTCCAAAACTTGAGACAAGACTCGATATCCGAATACTATTAAGGAGACTTGTTCGGAATGGATTCCAAACCGTACCAGCATCCTACAGATCCGAGATTGTTCGCACCGCGAAGACGGTTGACACGTGGTTGACGAGGAACATGCGGTCAGTCGATGGACGAACTTGGCCTTTCGTCCTACCGACACGGTATACTACTACTCTTCACATAGAACTCGCCTGAAATGCATGAATATACGAGAGAGCACGGCGATGAACGAGAAAGTGGCATACGCGACACGCCGTGTTGAAATTATTCGCGCGATCGAGTTCGAGTTAATATTCGGAGAAACGATCGGGGTAGGTCGAGATGAGGAAGGGCGGCGAGAGAGGCGATGCCGCGGATATCTCTGCCGCTTCTAAATGTCATATGTAACTGTCCTATGCCCGTTGCTGCACCCTCTCACCTCGGGTTCGCGATCGCCACGAACGAGAGAGACTTTCACTCGAAGCGGTGCGCCGTTGAGAGATCGGTCGTGTTAAACCAGAAACTACTTCTCGCCGACGAGAGCCATTATACGCTGTGCTAAAATAATAGCCGCCTGTAGAGTTACTCGAGTAAAGAGTTAGGACACTGCGTGATGATTTCTGATTAGAGACCGGACTCTATCCGTCATTAGAAGGAAGAAAATGACAAAACACTGCAGCTCCTTTCTCATTCACTACTCCCCTATAAATAGCGGATAGAACTTTAGCCACAGGACAAATTTCATTCAATGAAAATTTGCCAAGATAGCACAAGATTACTTTTCCCGCGTAACAAGACGCTCTTCTTTCAACATCTCCACTTTGTAATACACATAATAAGATAAATGTTCAAATAATTGAACAATGCCTCATTGTTGAAATATTAATAATATATTTGTATTTAATATTTCTAAGAGAAGAAGAAAGAAAATATTTGAAATTTTGTTAAAAAATATTTCTTTACACACGCCAATATATATATTTGTGTAATATTATTTAACAAACATTCAATCATTGAATCTGTATTATTCGGCAGTTAGAGCTATAACTCATTTTTTCAATTCAATTAGCTGGTATAAAACCGGCATTATATCTAATATATCATTAGAAGTGTAATTCATATTTATCGATTATTTAATTTTCTATTATTTTTTCATCGCACTAACAAAACAAGGTTTTATACTTATAACGTTATTTTTGTTAGTAATTCCATGAATTATTTATCAATAGAAATGTAAAACTAATCGTGCTTTCTTATTAATTTAGTCATTTTACTTTAACAATGAAATAATTGAATTACGACGCGCACACCTTTGATCGACGGCCTTAGGCGACGGACGTAACCAAGCGCGGTTGTTGCATGTATTACGCAAGTAAAAGGGAGATTTAGCTGCTTGGCAAATATCGAATACGCGAATACTGTGTGAATACGCGATCTGTGTGCGGGTCGATGCCCGAGGAAGTCGTGTCTCGCACGTATCTGCGGTGCGCGCGCGAATCGCAGTATCGCAAGCCGGCCGAGTGAAATATCTCAATGGGATACTCGACGAGCCTTCAATTAAGCGTAATTCTCATCGTAGTTGTTATAAAAACGCGCTAACAAAAACGTCTATAACTACGTATTGTCACTTGCTAAACGCGCCAATTTGCCATTTCAAAACAAACGCGAGAATCATTTAGCGAAACAAGAAGAAAAACTATACATTCAAGATTATAAACACAGCCAAGTATTAATATCGTCTTCACTGGATATCTTGCGGTCAATTTCAAATGCAATTCCATGTATCTCAGCTGCGTATAATGTTATCGAAGAAACCCAACAAGTATATTTGGCTTTGCGTAAGATATGTCTCAAAAATAAATCCTTATTCGACCGATTTCATCTTCGGGTATTGGTGAACGAATTTCAATATTTATTACAGATTATTATCGATAGAAATGATGAGTGACACGCTCGTTATACCGTGTTACTAAGTTTTAAGAGAAGCCCAGTGAGCGAGATTTCTCGCAGTTTATTCCAGAATTTAACTCACATATGTGGAATTTAAGAAAAAGTTACGAAGAGACGCGATTGAAAATGTGCTTGGTATGACTTGCGCAACCTTTCCCGTAATTTCGCAATGACCTTTCGCCGCGGCACCTTCCAAAGATGTTGCATCATCTAAACGATTGCTTTGAAATATTGAAAGTATCTCTCTCTCTCTCTCTCTGTAGAAGAATCGCGCGTAATGATATAAAAGGTTGTCCGGAATTAGTCTTATTAACTGCAAACTTTAATTCATTTTCTAAAAGAAGAAAACAAGAGAAAAAGGGAAAATATCGGCCAAAGACACAACCGTCTTAATTAAACTGAACAATGTACAAAACTAACACATAAGCATTTATATTAATTAAATAATTTTTTTTAATTAATTTTTTGAACAATTAACTTATTAATCTTGCTTCTTTTTAATAATACATGACGAAACGTTTATATATTGGAAATCACGACGCAATATCATTCTGTGAGCGACTAGTGGATGAAAGAAGATTCTATAGCGGAGTGACGTGGTTTGACGTTAAAAATACAAAACACATTCTTTCCTTCCTATTGATATTTATGATTGAAAAATATTTCTCAGTGTTTCGTTAGGGTTTATGACGGACGACAATATATGCGGAATTGTATAGTTGGTTTATACCAAGGTACATAACAATTTGGCAAATAGTTGCCTGTCTAAAATTAGAACACATCTCCTGACGTTTATCAGTCCGTAAGCGAATTATCACTCACGTCAATGTGACAATGTTCGATTTGTCATCTGGTGTCAAATTACGTCATTGTTCTCTTTTATCGCATGTATTATGATTTCATTTTGTCATCAATTTGACTGACACTAGCAAACTACACTAAATGGATAAATGAAAAGAAATTGAAAATTGGCTTGATATCAATTGACTTGTGTTGTCACGTGTACAATTGATACATCATTACGGAAAATTCACAGCGCATATTCAATTGGTACAATATATCTTGATGAATATTATACCAGCTTAGTACACTGTTGTTTATATGCATCGTCGATATTAAAATTATTCAATAGAAAATTACTATTTAATACGCGTATGAAACGTTCGATGTGAACAAGGCTAGAAAGAAAAAAGCCTTGATTTACTTTTGCTCATTAATCGTACCAAATTGACAATTGAGCGATTGCGTACAGCATTGCGACCTAAACTGACAATACGTTCCCGATTCAACAATCGAATCGGGCGCGATAACGACACTTCCGCGCGATCTGACAGAATTCACGAGTGCGCAACATCATACGTATGTATAGCGAATTGAACTCGCCATTCATCGACCGCGCTGTCAAGCCGGCGGAGAGAAAGCGGCTTATGACGCTTACACATGGAGAGCAAAACTCGCTACTTACCGCACATGTTATCGACGTGTTGCCCGCCACGTATGTAGAGACACAGAGGGGGAGTGTGAAAGAAAGAGAGACAGACAGTAATCGAAGACGGATATTACCGATAGGCGACGAACGCGATAGCCGACAGCTGACGATGAAATAAAAATGGAAGCGAAATGTCACTCGCTCAAATATACGCGATACGTGCCGATCCACGCTGCTCCGAGACACAGTCTGACTGTTGCAGCGGCGTTTCACCGTACTTATGACGCGTAGCTACCGCGCGTATGTGTGCGTGTGAACGTAGCAATGAGCAGCCGCCGTCAACGGGAGGTGGGTATCACGGGCGCGTAACACGTGAACGTAGCTGCGAGACTGTCAGCGATCGCGCGAGTATTACAGCCGCGAACATAGCTGCGAGACGTTGGCAACTGCGCGCGCCCTATCAACCGATTAGTCGTTCGTCGTAGGGACGATGCTGAGAGAAGGATTCATTACAAAACGATATTTATCGTCGCTTATATTCCATCGACTATAATCAATTAATCTTAAGTTTTTCGCAACTATTTAACATGCAATAAATTGATAGAAATAATATGCAATGGCTGCAGCCATATTCAACGGTTTCATCACAGACGAAGCAAGAAGATCGATCTGTCGTCGGCAACATATGTCGTAGCATTCTTGAAAAGAAAAACTCCTTTAACTCCATTAAAGAGTAAAAGACCGTTGAGTTGCCGTTGAGTGTACTATTTGGCAAGTACATGCCCGTCTGATCAGCCGTTGACTCAGACTACGAGTCGCCGATGAGAATGGTGGCGACTCATAGCGAAGACTTTATAATTAATCAAAGTAACTTGAACCATTGACAAAAGTTTGTCAATAGATTGCCTGGCACTATCCAACAGTGCTGTTGGAAGACAAGAAGAGAGAAACTTTGCGGTAATGCAGATAGGTTAAGAGAGACCGTTATCACCAACTTACCAAAGGTTTGAGTCTTGACTGACTCGTTACCTCAAAGAGACGGTCTTTACGGAATCTCGCCCAACTCGAATATAACACAGCAACAACAACAGATGACATATATCAAGGACACATTGATTTTTTAATTTAGCACTTGATAAAGTGCATTTTGCTTAAAAAGAAGCATCAAACAGATTATAGTGAGGTTAGTTTGCTTATTTCGTTAATTACGTTCGCGAAATTATGATAGTCACGAATCTCTCACGCTTTTTTAAGCAAAGCAAAATACTTACTCTGACAAGTAAAATCACCTCGACGATTTATGATTGTCCAGTAGTCCAAATGTCGAATTCAGGCAAAATGAGCAAGCCTAAAGTTTTGATCACAAGGCCGGACATACCAGCAACCGGCTTAAATATGCTACGTGAACGGTAAATTTAATTTCGACAATTCTCTTTGCAATCTCTCTCATATCGTAAATATACTTTATATTTAATTTGTTTAAATGTCACAAATTTGATAAAAGCGAGTAGATTTTCTTCATTGATTATTGATGTCTGCAGGTGTCAAATTGTACTATGGGAGAAAGCCGAGCCAATACCGCGGTCGGAATTATTATCTAGGATACGTGGGGTAGATGCCATATACTGTGTTCTAACAGATAAAATAGATGATGAGGTTCTTGAGGCTGCAGGTCCTCAATTGCAAGTTGTAGCATCTATGTCAGTAGGTATCGATCACCTGGATCTGAAAGCGTTGAAGAGAAAGGGAATTAGAGTTGGTTACACCCCAGGTGTCCTGACAGATGCTACAGCAGAGCTGATTGTAGCTCTCTTATTAGCGACTTCGAGGAGACTACTGGAAGCAAATAGGGCAATTTACAAGTATTATCTCTCACCAATTTTGAATCGATTCTCTCCATAACTTTTGACAACATTAACTTTTGTTAACTTTTAAATAAATTTTTTATAAGCAATTAACAAATACCAAAATTCTTTTCAGAAACTGCATCTTAGATCTATTAACGAGTAATACACGTTTATCCTTTGTACAATTTTAAGTGGATTTTATTCGAACAGAAGTTTTATTTTCTCGCGAAAAATCCACTCGAAATTGGCCGAAGAATCCGAGAAAAAAAAAGCACAATTCTCAAATCAAGTATATATTACTTCAGTATTGTGTACTTGGGACACAAATTAAATACGTCCTTTTATTTACTGCAGAGGCGAATGGAAAGCCTGGTCGCCGACATGGATGTGCGGTCCAGGACTGTCAGGCTCAACTGTGGGTATTGTCGGTCTGGGTAGGATTGGTCTGCGAGTCGGCGAGTTCCTCAAAAGTTTCAACGTCGCTAGATTATTGTACACGAGCAGAACAGCCAAGCCGGAAGCGTCGAAATTTTGCGGCGAAAGAGTAGAGTTGAACGATTTACTCCGTGACAGTGATTTTGTCGTTGTGACGACAGCGCTGACACCTGAAACGAGACACATATTCAACGCCGAGGCCTTTGAGCGAATGAAGAGTACAGCCGTATTCGTGAACGGAAGTCGCGGAGAGGTAGTGGATCAAGCAGCATTGATAGACGCCTTAAAAAATAGAACAATTGCGGCCGCTGGTTTAGATGTCACGACACCTGAGCCGATACCTCTAGATAGCGAACTCCTGCAACTGGATAACTGTGGTTAGTATCTATTGATAGAGGGTTGTACCATAAATTGGGTAAGGTCTATCTCGTTAGAATCTCTGTGAATATTATCAAATTAGTAACCGTGTTCGTTCGCGTTTCAGCGTGATGCGATGGTTACTCAAGGTCACGCCTTTTCTCATGATTATACGAGTAAATTGCACTCTATCCAGAAATTAAAGACAGAAAGCTCGCAAATAATTCCTAAATCTTTGTGGATATTGTCTGATAAATCCTAGGTTAAAAAAAAAAAAAAAAAAAAAAAAATATATATATATATATATATAAATAATACAGTATATTTATTTGTGTTTTCAGTGGTTTTGCCTCATATAGGAAGCGCCACCATGGAAAGTAGAGAAGAAATGTCTAGAATTACAGCAAACAATATTTTGGCTGTCCTAAGTGGAACACCCGAAGCTATGCCTGCACAATTTAAACTATAAATAGACTAAGCTTTTGACACAATGGTGAATGCACTGGATGAGTCATTCATCAGTAATACTTGAATGTTTTTCCTGGACTTAAAAATATTTGTGTATACATAGCATATAGTCTGTATGGTAAACTAAAAGTGACAAATCATGATTTATTTTTTTTTAATAGTGTAGACGATATATTCATATATAAATATATTTGTTACTATATTTACATGTAACTTTACTAAAAATCAGTCTTTCGCTTTACAATGTGTAGAAAAGAATAATGTCCTCTGGTAAAAACATCAATGGTCGTTTATTAACGACTGCGACATAGCAAAAGTATATTACGTGTATATTTCGTGTATATACGTAAATACTGGTACGAATCAATTTCATCGAAAAGCCGCACTATTATCATTTCGTTATTATCGTTAAATTATCGCTCCAACAAAGATAGAACTTGTTCATACGCCGTAAAATGCAACGCCGTAACTATGACAGCTTTCACTTGACTTGGTACTAGTCCTTTGAATAATCCTGGTACTCCCTCTCTTCTCACAGTCACTATCAAGCAATCTAGCAATCCTTTGCACTGGAAAAATTGACCGAATCCTTCACGACCGCGTTGGAAACCTTGTATCTGTAATCTTTTCTTAGCAAGATCAAATGGATATATTATTGTTTTTGCTATTAATCCAGAAGTGCCACCAGACACCATGGAATTGTAGAAGTTTGTTTTACTATTAGTAAAATATTTTCCATATAGATCTGTGAAAATATTGTAGAACATAAATTGCAGACCAGTATATGGAGCAATTTGTAACAAGGTTGGTGATAAACCCGAAAAAAAAACCCTTAGTGATTCTTGTCGTAGAATTGAACTGAAAGAAGATATAAAATACTACAGGTATACGAATGTCCAAATATTTTAAAACAATGAAAATGCATATAAAATACACATGTGTTATTATTATGGAAGAAATAGTGATATACTAAGAGAAAAAAAGAAAAAAACAAGGATATCTTGACTTCCAATTTTGATAACTGATAATGGGACAATTAACTAAGAGTTCTCTGTTACTTACCTACAGGAATGCAATACTCCATGATACACTTGATGGTTACTCGATTGGGCCACTAATCTAGTTCTTATAGTGTCGAAAGGAAACGAAACCACTGTTGCCATACTTCCTGCTCCAATACCAGCAATAAAATTCATCAAATAATTCCATTCCTTAATTTCCGACACTCGCAGCATTTTCATCAACATATCATATGAAAAAAACTGCAAATTTAAGTAACACGACTAAAATGTAATACAAACGAAGAGAAAAAGAGACATGTAAAATTGTATCATTGTGTTAGTAAAAGATTCAGCAAGTTTTATTTGAATTATTGAGCACCTGAGTCATTCCATAGGAAATCGAAAGTAATTGTGCAGGTATGTGTCCTTTCCATAGAGCAGGTACTCTCTCTTCTCTCAATATTAACCAAAAAGCTTGCGACACAGATTTATACTTGCTATTGTAATGTGTTGAAATTGGTTCAACTTGCAACTATAATAAGAAAAATAATTACAAAGAAATATAACAAGGACAATTATACACAGTTATAATAAAATAGTTATGATCAAATATAACAAGTGATTTTATAGTAATAACTTGCCTGAAATCTGATTTTTATGACGTCAAGAGGTTGACAAATAAATCTTGTTAAAAATCCACTGATAGCTCCAGCGATCGCGCAATTCGTGGACATCTCGGTTTTAAATAGAGATCCCATAATAATTACTTTTAAAGCTCTTGATCAGTCAGCCGAGAATTTCACGTTGACGATGGCGACATTGTAAACGGCAAAATGATGAACTATCAGGCGAAAAAATAGAAATCTGTTTTTTGTAGCACTGCTGAACTGGTGCAATATATTGAAGTGAGACAAATATATGTTTTCTTACTCTAACTTATTCAGCACTAGTTCAGCAGTCAGCTACAAAGAACAGACCTTAAAGGCCAAATCACACTAACGATTGGCGATAGATGATTGAAGATTGGAACTTGACCAATTGGAACAAAGCAAGCCAAGGTTAAAGCTCGTTGATTCGTCAAAATCTAATCTTCAATCGTCAATCATCAATTGCTAGTGTGATTTGGCCTTAAATCCATATCAGACTATAGATTAGGATTGAGATTGAATTGAAATTTAGCCAATCAGAGCAAAATTCACTAAGCTCAAGTTTGGTGAACTTTGCTCTGATTGGCCAATTTTCAATTCAATCTCAATCTTAATCCATAGTCTGATATGGGCTTAAAAGAGTTCCATCATAAAATAAAAAAAACTCTCTAATCAAAACCTATAATACTTCTTCCTATTAATTTCCATATCATGTTGTGGTGAAAGGACCACATTGCACTAGTTCAGCAATGCAGCTACAAAGAACAGGCCTAATGAAAAAGAGAGAGAAAGAGAGAGAGAGAGAGAGAGAGAGGGAGAGAGAGAGAGAGAGAACTGAATACCTTGAATAGGCAATAGAAATAAAAAAAGTGAGTCCAAGTAAAATAATCAGAAGAAGTAAGAAATACAAACTTCTAATGATGTAAACATAAGACTAATTTTTTTCTGTAAACCACAGTGTACTGATTACTGAATGTAGTGCGTGCATATCACATGTGATAGTTGTAATGCTCCGGATACTGAGCTTATTGCTTATTGTGACATTTAATACGCATAAGTTGTTATTCGGTCATATTAAACACCGAGTCACAGAACTGATTTTCTGTCAAAACGAGACGACATGCGTCGTACACGGTCATGCACGATGTAATAACTGATACTGATGGATATTGTCCCGAATAACTTGCAATCAAAGTACGCCGCAATGAAAAGGATTCAAGTTGAAAGTACTTTAGTTACAAATTTTTTTTCACGAGATGTTTATTTGTTCCAAATCTTTGCCTGCACAACATCAGAGACTCAAAAGCAGGTGAAAATACTTCAAATCAACAAAAATTTGCATTCGACATTTGTAGTGGATATTTGCGCACAAAAACCTGCTATTCAGACTCTCACACGCCTGCTTAATCTGATCTACAGACTGTGATTGATCAGGAAAGAAAAATCGGTCCTGCTGCAAACAATTGATCAATCAACTCTTTATCGTTCTCCCGTGTTTCGTTCTATCGCATTCACCTCCAATAAATAAACTTACTGACAAATAGCTTTTTGCAAACTCAGATAAATTACCATACATGCTACAAAAATTCACTCACTCTGGCCTCGATACCCGCATTGCTGTATATAAGTATCAAGATTCAACCAAAGGGATGTGTAATTCAGTCAATAAGACAACGTAACCAAGTGGTTGCGTTCAGCAAAGATCGGTTTTGCAAGAAAGTTGGGGTTTTGTGTCGCTCTACCAATGGATCGAAAGCTTGGCTGAACGCTCTTTTCTCGCGCCAAGTTACGTTTACTTATATTACAGCGCTTTTGGTATAGTATGGAGAGAGTGATGACCGTTTAGAGTAAACGTACATCTGTATTCGAGATACTATTCGCTTACTATTCGAGATAAATCTAGCCGATCTAGACGATAGAAAGTGATAAAAAAGAATGTTTCAAAAATTGCCTAGGAATGGTAATAAAAACTAAAACGCGGTTAATACAGTAAAATGTAATGCCTAACCCAGGATTATTGTACGAGAATGCAGAATTTCTCGAAATGGTTCTGCGTCGCATGTTTTCTTCATAACGTCGAGACTGTTATGACAGCCGCCTACTACCCGCCATACGGGATCGTCCTCAAATTATGCACTCGCGCAATTATCTGACACTCGCAAATTGTATTGCACCATCCTTTCTTTTCTTCTCCTCTCCTTTTCCTTTTCTTTACTTCGTTTACATAGCTCAGTTCATGTATCACGAGCTCTTTCATCTTACAGTTGTGTCAATACGCAATGCTCGCACTTGTTCCACCACGAGCCAACAAAACTGCGACAGTTTTTACTCCAAGCAGCATGTATATGCCTTAACATTGTAACTGGGTCACCTCTATGTACACATTAACACACACGTAAAGTTAAAAAAGAAACCCTAGTAAATAGTTGATGCGCGTTAAGGCATCCACACAGCTTAGTACATGCTGGCAATTCAATGTAACATCTACATCATGAAAAACACGTAGCGATATGTTGGTCGCATAGCAAGTGCGCGAGTAACTTCGCGCGTCTGCGCACGCTGTCATTCGGTAAACTTTGTTATGACTGTTACGACAGTGGGTTAACCAGTTGTAACGTGCAAAAGATCCAAACTATGGCTCGTGAAGAATATACCGAGTGGCATTACATCGAATTTCTACTGTAAAGGCTTTATCCACCTTAGAATTGATTCGTTTGATAATAGGATCATCTATTGTAATTGGGTACTCTGTTAGTATCGAATCGTTTGCGCGTACCACGGAAAACATTGTCCCTCCCACGGTTGCCGTATCCCCAACGATCTGAGAACAAAAAAGAAAAAACAGTGATGATATATTACCATGTCACTCTGAATAATATATTTTTCACGCACATTACGGTAATTTTAAGCTTTCCACAAAGCGTTTTTACAGTAAAATGGTAAAAGTTAATCGAGCTTTTTAATTACTTTCTCTCAATTTTGTTTCTTTTCCTTTTCTTAAAATGAGAACGCAATATCGATTGAACCACATAATAAGTTTAACTAATTAATTATTAAATTAATACGTGGCTAAGTTAAAGCTAACTGTCATAGCGAATCAACACTTATTTATTACAAGCTTTAGCAGAATGCGATGAATCGTTCTAAATAGAAATAATAGCTGTTATAGATTGTTCCAATAAAATGAATTTACGATATAGGTGCACTGTACTTGTGCAATAATTGATTTAGCGAGACACTCACTTCTGTTGGCATATCCGCCGCCGCCGCCACCACTGCTCATCGCGAATTTAATCAGCTGCGGATTGACCTCTTGTTTAGCTTCTTCAAGCACGTTTATCAAGTCCCTCGCTTGACGGGCGTTTTGCGGCGTGAAGAAGGCGTAACTTGTTCCCATGTTTCCTGAGCGTCCAGTTCTGCCGATTCTATGGATATAGTCTTCAGATGAGGACGGATAATCGAAGTTGACCACGTATTTCACATCGTCGACATCTAAATAAATCGATCGATTATAATTCGGCTACTGCTCCTTCATGCTTATATATATTGTACAGAGTTATTTGAAAGATCTACATGTGCAAAAAAATAACATCTTCCAAACCATAATTTTCCAACATTGTAAGAGTGAAACAGCATTCACTAACGTTCACAAAATTTCGCGAAAAGAGAGTACTGTACAACTATACAGGGTATCCCAGACTCTTCTTCGCAATTTTTCTGGGAATGTACAATGAATTGAAGTGAACATACAAGTAGTTTTGCGATATTCCCAATAAATCTTGAAATATTAATTAAAGAAGAGTTTTAGATATTTATTAAAAATTTGTGCATTATCGTACAACTATCGTACAACTATCTAACAATTTTCTTTTATTAATAATTAAAAACCTACGTGGTTATTTACAAAATGATTAAGAGCTTTTTACTTATGTTTACCTCAATCCATTCTATGTTCTCACAAAAATTGCGGAAGAGAGTCTGAGATACCCTATATATTATACATGATCATTATTATATATAAACTCGGACTAATTAGTTGTACAAGTAGTATTTTTTATTGTAACGCATTCTGAAATTTTTTGGACAAGTCAATGTATATACATACATATACATACATACATACATATATATATATATATATATATATATATATATATATATATATATA